CACCTTCACTTACCTCCAAATCCATTCAAATAAACAACAAAAAATTTACTTTCAAATCCTCTTAAATCTATTGAATCACTCTTTTCTAAATTCTTTCAAGTGAACAAAGTTTAAAGGAACACAAAACCCCAAACAACAAAAAGCAGAGTACCCCAAACAGTAAGTAGTAAACAATCTAAAGAGAAAATTAGGCAACAGACAACCCAAATTGTGGATCAGTGTTTAGGCCTTTTCCTATCATTGTTGGGCTTGATAGAGTGGAGGACAAATTACAATGGTCTCAGGAGTAAAAGATTCATCCTTATTTTTCTGTATCACAGTTCAAGCTATTTAAAGGTTAAATGGTTGATCCTTGTATGTCAGAAAATGATGTCTCAACAGAAAATAGCGAAATGGAGACAACCTCGCACTTAAGGATCATGGATTTAATTAAAATGGATTAAGTTAAACATTTACCATCGGAAATATTTATGCATTGATGCACTGCATCAATGTTCAGAAAATGGTGGAACATGTTCTAGGGAACACTATTGATATGTATGTACAATATGCGAGGAGATGAAAAATATGTGAATTTGTATTACATAATTAATATTGTTTTCCTTAGTCACGTCCCAGTGAACTCTTAAGCACGGATCATTGTTTCTTTTAACAAAAATTAAAAATTATTTCTTAAAATTTTAAATAGGGTCTAAATTTCATATTGAATAAAAAAAGTAATCATCCATTAATCTATTGTCTATATATTGTCTTAATATTATGGATAAAAACTAATATAAATCTATTTGAACTCAAGTTTCATTAAATTTCAAAGGTCTGTTCATCTGAACTTGCAAAGTACTATCTAATACTAACTTGTTTCATCTAAACTAACATTTCTTAATTTGAAATAACTTTTGAATTTTCAAAATGTAAATAATTATCCAAAATTCAATCCAAATTCAAAAAATTGAACTTAAAATCTAATAATATAAATTTAAATTTGAGACAAATCTATTTAAACCTATAATAATATAAATTTCAATAATGAGAATTAGATTTCACACCATTTTTATATTGCTTTCTGACCTTAATTTACAAAGCCACTTAATATCACAAATATCTTCGGAAGAGAAAAATGTCATCATTTAAACCGTCATGTACTTACTTTTATATAAACATAGTTATAACTAATAAAAATAAGTAAGTTAATTATTTTCATCGTTTTTTTATATATATATTCATGTTACAGTTGTTTCGGTTGAATTTGTCCGAGAATCGGTCGTCTTTTTTTACTCTGAAATGTTTCGATTGTCTAATTCTCATCGAGAACGCAATCCACTCCGATAGGTTGTTGACCTACAGAAAACACTCTGACCCTCAAGTCATATATGTTTCATAAAGAGGTCTCTATTTTATTAGAATAAATTCAGGTTATTTTACTTGCAGATCAATCGTATATTTATAGGGCTTGTGGCAGTCAAGCACATTGATTAACCATTAACCCTGTATATTTTTAGGCAATTAAATCCAATAATACCTGCCAAAATACATGTTAACTACTCATAAATGACCATTAACTCTGATCGGTATATTTCATATAATACATAAGTCTCTCAAGCCCAAGCAAGTTCTTCATTGAAAGAGGTGTGCAGGGATTATTATGAGCTTAAGAGAGGTCGCTCACATTGTATTTAGGGAGTCTATTTTCGATGCGCTTTAACTCTTCATTCTTCTATGCACCGAGCGATGTACTATAGGAGTTCTCTTTGGAATTTTTTCCCTAGGTTGAGCGGGAAACGCTAGGAGTTCTCTTTGGAACTTTTTCCTGTGCAAGATATTTCACTCACAAAAATATGTGTTAAACAAAATATTCAATATTTTATTTTTATAATGAGAAGCCATTAGAACTTGATAAGGTTGAAAGTTGGTGGTCCAACTGACCAAGCGGTAGCTACGACCGATAGGATTTCTTTTTTTAGAACTTTTTCCTATGTTGAGTGAAGACACTGGAAGTTCTTTTTTGAACTTTGTCTAGGCCGAGCGGTGATCGATAGGAGTTATTTTTTGATCTTTTTCCTATGTTGAGCAAAGACACTGGAAGTTCTTTTTTGAACTTTGTCTAGGTCGAGTGGTGATCATAGGAGTTCTTTTTTGAACTTTTTCCTATGTTGAGCAAAGACACTAGAAGTTCTTTTTTGAACTTTGTCTAGGCCGAGCGGTGATCGATAGGAGTTCTTTTTTGAACTTTTTCTTATGTTGAGCGAAGACATTGGAAGTTCTTTTTTGAACTTTGTCTAGACCTAGCGGTGATCGAATTCTTTTTTGAACTTTTTCCTATGTTGAGCGAAGACACTAGAAGTTCTTTTTTGAACTTTGTCTAGACCGAGCGGTGATCAATAGGAGTTCTTTTTTGAACTTTTTCCTATATTGAGTAGTAGACGCTAAGAGTTCTCTTTGAAACTTTTTCTTGTGCAAGATATTTCACTCACAAATATGTGTTAAACAAAATATTCAATATTTTATTTTTATAATGAGAAGCCATTAGAACCTGGCAAGGTTAAATTTTGGTGGTCGAACTGACCGAGCGATAAGGGGTTAAACCTTCACGTACAGGATATTTTTACTCACAAAAATATATATGGGTTAAACAAAATATTTAATATTTTATAATCTTCTTTTATAATGAAGATTCATTAGAACCTCACAAGGTTGAACGTTCAACTGACCGAGCAGTAAGGGGTTGAACCTTCCTGTGCAAAATATGTTTACTCACAAAAATATATATGGGTTAAACAAAATACTTAATATTTTATAATCTTCTTTTATAATGAAGAGTCATTGGAACCTGACAAAGTTGAATGTTGGTGATCTAACTGAGCAAGTGGTAAGGGTTGAATCTTTCTGTGCAGGATATTTTTACTCACAAAAACATATATGGATTAAATAAAATATTTAATATTTTATAATATTCTTTTATAATGAAGAGTCATGGGAACCTGAGAAGGTTGAAAGTTGGTGGTTCAATTGAGCAAGCGGTAAGGGGTTGAACCTTCCTGTGGAGGATACTTTTACTCATAAAAATATATATGGGTTAAACAAAATATTTAATATTTTATAATCTTCTTTTATAATGAAAAGTCATTGAAACCTAAGAAGGTTGAATATTGGTGGTCCAACTGAGCAAGCGGTAAGGGGTTGAACCTTCTTGTGCAGGATATTTTTACTCACAAAAATATGTGTTAAATAAAATATTTAATATTTTATAATCTTCTTTTATAATCAAGAGTCATTGGAACCTAACAAGGTTTAACGTTCGTGGTCCAACGCAAGCGGTAAAGGTTTTCTTGTGCAGGATATTTTTAGTCACAATAAAATATGCGTTAAATAAAATATTTTATAATGAGAAGCCATTAAAACCTGACAAGGTTGAACGTTGGTGGTCCCACTGACCAAGTGTTAAGGGATTGAACCTTTTAAACAAAATATTTAATATTTTATAATTTAATATTTTATAATTTAATATTTTATAATCTTCTTTTATAATGAAGAGTCATTGAAACCTGAGAAGGTTGAACGTTAGTTGTCCAACTGAAAGTTATCAAAACAAAAGACATGCCTTTAGAACTTTTTATGGAATTTTTTCTCTTGTTACTCGTGGTTTCATGGGGATGCCGCTCGGGCCCCACGGTGGACGCCAAATTTCGGTTAAATTTGTCTGAGGATCGGTCGTCCTTCCTTGCTCTGAAATGTTTCGATCGTCCAATCCTCTTCGTGAACGCAATTCACTCCGGTGGGTTGCAGAAGACATTCTGACTCTCAAGTCAGATATGTTGCATAAAAAGGTCTCTACTTTATTATAATAGATTCAAGTCATTTTACCTGCACATTATATTTATAGGGCTTGTGGCAACCAAAACCAAACATATTAATTAACCATTTACGCAGTATATTTTTTGACAATCAAATCCAATAATACCTTCTAATATATTTGCTAATATACCTGCTAATATACTTGCTAACTGCCCTAACTTCGATGAGTATATTTCATATAATACAATAATCATTAATTTGTTATAGTTGAAGTGAATTATTGTATTCTAAAAATACTATGCATCACTGTCAATAAACATTGTCCTTTAAACTTTAAGTTTTTTTTTATTATTAGCATTGATAAAATTAAAACTAAAATGACTTTGTAACAAGTGTTATTTAATGATAAATGATAAACTATTTGAGAGTGGAAAATGCACATTTTAAATTTCATTAAAAGAATTTATATAATTCCTTCTATTAATGCATACCTTTTCTTAGTTCTCAATTTCTTACTGTGGAATTTTCGAAAAAAAAAAACTGGGAGTAAATATTTGAGTAAAATAATTTGACACAGTACCATAGACCGACAAAATTATTTAATCTCTATACGTGTCTTTTTTCTCTGTTTTCTATCTTCAATTCTAAATCAATGGGAAAAGAACCTTTAAAACATCAACTTTTCTCTAAGCAACTTTTGTTCAAAAATTGAGACTTCAATAATGCAAACTTTGAAAAACTTGGAATGCCTTTAGGAAAGTGTGGAAAAGTGTGATGTCTTATGGAAAATTGTAGTTTAGTAAGGTTTTTCTTTCTTCCTTCCTTTTTGGTTTCCTATGTTTTTAACTGTTTTACTATTTGAATTAAATAATGTCTCTGTGAGAAGTGATTTCATATCACATGATACCCTTTTTTTTAAAGTAGGACATGTTTCTCTACAAATGTGATGTGTGATAAATGACTTCACTTTTTTGTAAAAAAGTTTGGCGTTGTTCTTATCGTTATGTTGCAATTCTCTATAACAGAATTACTCACTAATTTATAAGATGAACCAACTACACAACTTTTGAATAAAATACTTTGCCTTTAAGAAACCCAATACATAAATTTTCAATGGTTTAGTGCTAGACTTTGAAAATATAGTCAAGTGGCAAATGCACACTACTTCCTAAATCTCCTTTATAAGCATCTTCTAGTTTCAACCTTTATCCTCACCAAAATACACCTTCCTCTTACAAGAATATACATTTTCATATTATATTCTTGATCCTAAAAAGCCAGAGTTATACTTGAACCATGCAATCCATCAAGATTCTAGCCTGCTGGAGGATTCTTTACTGGTTTATTTTGATATTTGTAACACAACTTGCTTGTTTCTCCCAAATCTTTTATTTGGCTTCTATTGCTATCTCAGTCACTATTGTTGATGAAGCTGTAGCAGAGAACAGTGAAGCCAATGCACTGCTAAAGTGGAAGCACAGCCTTCACACATCCAGCCAAGATGTCTTGTCAACATGGAATGGTGTTACACCATGCAAATGGGATGGAATTCATTGTAACATGTACAATTCCAAGTCCATTTCCACCATAGATCTTGCAAATTATGGTCTCATAGGTACCCTTAACGCCCTCAACTTCTCAGCTTTCCCTAACCTACTCATCCTAAATATCTATAACAACTCCTTTTATGGGACCATTCCACCACAAATTGGTAACATGTCCAGAGTAAATGTTTTGAATCTTTCTGCAAATTATTTCCATGGTTCCATCCCTCAACAAGTGTGGACACTAAAGAGTTTACAAGGTCTCGATCTATTCACATGTCAATTAAGTGGAGAGATTCCTAATTCCATAGCAAACTTGTCAAACTTGACATATCTAGATTTAAGCAACAACAGTTTTTCTGGCCAGATTCCACCAGAGATTGGAAACTTGCACAAGTTGAAATATCTAGCTATTGGTAAAAATAAACTTCTCGGTTCCATTCCTCAAGAAATTGGAATGTTAACAAACCTTGCGCTCATGGATTTGTCAGAAAATTCTCTCTTTGGTACTATACCTGAAACAATAGGTAACATGAGAAATTTAAGTCAACTTTACATTTCTAACAACTCCCACCTACATGGGCCAATCCCATCCTCCATATGGAACATGTCCAAGTTAACAGTGCTCAACCTTTATGGCAATAGCCATTCTGGATCAATCCCTGCTTCCATAGAAAATTTGGGCAATTTAGATAAACTTGGACTTGATCACAACCAACTTTCAGGTCCCATTCCTTCCACGATTGGAAAGTTGACTAAGCTTACCTATTTGTTTTTAAGCTTCAACAATTTTTCTGGATCAATTCCTCCCTCTATAGGAAATTTGATCAATTTGAAAACGCTTAGTCTCGAAAGAAACAATCTCTCAGGAACAATTCCAGCCACAATTAAAAATTTGAAAAGGCTTACCAACTTAGCATTGTCCGTGAACAAACTTAATGGCAGTATTTCACAAGTCTTGAATAACAATAATAAATGGTATATTGTGTTACTTGCTGAGAATGATTTCACAGGCCACTTACCACCTCAAATTTGCTCTGCTGGGTCCCTAAGCCTCCTTAGTGCTCACCACAACCGTTTCACCGGTCCGGTGCCAGTAAGCTTGAAGAACTGTGCTAGTGTTACTAGACTCCGGTTGGATGGGAACCAATTGGAAGGAGATATATCACAAGATTTTGGTGTATATCCAAATTTGAACTACATTGATTTGAGCGACAACAAGTTTTACGGCCAAATTTCATCAAACTGGGGTAAGTGTCCTAATCTTGATACCCTAAAGATATCCAACAATAACATTTCTGGTGGTATACCAGTCGAACTTGCTGAGGCAACCGAACTTGGCAAGCTTCACCTTTCTTCTAACCACTTGAAGGGAAAGATTCCAAAGGAATTAGGCAATATGAAATCTTTAATTGAACTCAAGATTAGCAACAACGATCTTTCTGGAGACATTCCCAAGGAAATTGGATCACTGCAAATTCTTGAAGAATTGGATCTTGGAGATAACCAGTTGAGTGGAAAAATACCAGCAGAAGTTGTAGAGTTGCCTAAGTTACGGAAGTTAACTTTGAGCAATAATAAAATAAACGGAAATATTCCCTTGGAGTTTCGCCAACTTCAGCCTCTTGAATACCTTGATCTTAGTGGGAATTTTTTGACTGGAACAATACCAAGGCAACTTGGAGCGGTGATCAAACTAAACTGTTTGAATCTCTCTCGCAACAATCTTTCTGGAAGTATTCCATCCAGTTTTGAGGGCATGTCAAATTTGGTTTCTGTCAACATATCATACAATCGGTTAGAAGGGCCACTTCCCAAAAATGGAGCCTTTCTTAATGCTTCAATTGAATCATTGAAAAATAACACAGGTTTGTGTGGGAACGTCACTGGGTTGATGCTTTGCCCAGCCAACCGCAATGAAAGGAAGCACAAGGACATTCTTCTGATATTACTTCTCATGTTGGGTGCTCTTGCATTAATATTGTGTGCGGTGGGTGTTTCAATGTATATTCTTTGTCGAAAAGCAAGGAAGAAAGAAGCCCAAGCTAAAGGAAAAGAAGTATCAGAAAATGCATTGTCTCAAGAAGTGTTTTCCGTTTGGAGTCGTGATGGAAAAATTATGTTTGAAACTATCATTGAAGCTACCCACAATTTTAATGACGAATATCTCATAGGTGTCGGAGGACAAGGAAATGTTTACAGAGCCGAGTTCCCTTCAGGTGAGGTTTATGCGGTGAAGAAACTTCATCTAGGAACAGATGGAGAGAAGCCTAATTTTAAAGCTTTTGAGAATGAAATTCAAGCTTTGACCGAAATCAGGCACCGTAATATTGTAAAGCTATGCGGGTTTTGCTCACATCCACGATTCACATTTTTGGTTTATAAGTTCATGGAAGGGGGTAGCTTGGATCAAACCCTAAGCAATGAGAAAAAAGCATCTGCATTTGATTGGGAAAAGAGGGTGAATGTTGTTAAAGGTGTGGCCAATGTTTTATCCTACATGCATCATGATTGCTCACCTCCAATAATCCATCGTGACATATCGAGCAAGAATGTTCTTCTTGATTCACAGTACGAAGCTCGTGTCACTGATTTTGGAACAGCTAAGATTCTAAAGCCTGGTTGCTCTTGGACGACGTTTCAAGGCACATTAGGGTATGCAGCTCCAGGTTAGACACCACCTTTTCTCATTCTTAGAAATATTGATGGAAATTATTTTTCAATTAATTTACACTATTTTATGTTCAAATACTGTTTAAACACTGTTCACTTGAAAAGGTATTGGATTGATCGATCCCAAGGCAAGAACTAGTATGTGCCAATACCAAAACCTTTAAGAAAATTAACTTAGCGAAACTTGCATGCAGCTTATACAAAATGTTATGCATCTGTTCATGCTGCTTAACACAAAATTTTCATTTATTGTAGAGTTTGCTCAAACTATGGAAGTAACTGAGAAATGTGATGTATTCAGTTTTGGTGTGCTTTGCCTAGAAATCATCATGGGGAAACATCCGGGGGATCTCGTTTCTTCGTTGTTATCTTCATCTTCAGCAGCAATAACTCATAATTTGCTACTACTGGATGTGCTAGACCAAAGGCCTCCTCATCCTCTTAAATCAGTTGTCGGGGATGTCATTTTGGTTTCAAGCTTGGCATTTTCTTGCTTGAGTGAAAATCCAAGTTCTCGCCCAACAATGGCTGAAGTGTCCAAAATGTTAATGATGGGGAAATCCTCGTTACCAGCTCAGTTACCCATGATTAGACTTGGACAACTCCTCTAATGCAATATTGAACAACAACAGATTTCTGTTTTGCTTGTTTTCTTTGTACACCATTTGTCCTTTATCTTAGGTTGTAAGCTATGTTTGTTTTGTGATCGAAATAAGTCATGTAGAATTTACTAGAGAAGCTAGATTTTCTGGTTTATATAATAAGGGGTTGGATAATGATTTGCAGTAATCACCTTGTCACAAAACTTTATGCGATATGGTTGGTGGAACCGATCATGCATTTGTACAATTTATTGGTTTGAATAAAAGTTAATCTATGAATTAAGTCACTATTTTTGCCACTGGATATTTTATGGACATTTTGGCTTTTTAGATAACACGAAACTAAGAAGATGGTGTATACTAGTGATTCACTGTACTTGTGGTCCGTTTTTTTATCTCTTATTTTTAAATCTGCTTTAATGAGTGCCTTCAACCTTTTCAATCGGTATGGTTATGTATATAATATCATGAGTTTAAGAAAGTATAGGTTACACTTTTTTGCTTTATTAATAGATTGGACTTGATGTGATCACAACCAAATCTAGGTCAATTTGAGTTAGGACTAATTCGTTATGATCTTAATCGAGTTAGGCCTAATTAATTTTGATTAAAATAGTCTTGACTTAATTTTAATTGAACTGATCTAGACCAACTCAGTTCAATGTAAATTAGTTTTGACTCCGATAAACATCAGTTAAATGTAAATTAGCTTTGACTCAGATAAAACATAAACTTGATGGATTTAAACAATTTTGACTCAGTCTAAGTTTAAATAAACTACCTGAGTTAACTTGGACTAAGTTTAATCTATTTGGACTAAAAATAACATGACCTAATCTAACTCAACTAAACATGGGCCATTATGAATTTATCTTCAAATAAATATAAACTTACCTGATTCAGTATGATCTTGAATACAACTTAATACTAGGTTGATACTAGGTTTGACCTAATTATAATAGGTTGAACTTAAAATATAAAAATTTAAATTTAAATTTGAGAAAAATATATTTAAGTAAACTTGGAATAATATAAATTTAAATAATTAGAATTAAATTTCACTCTATTTTTTTTTTCTCACCTTAATTTACAAACCCACTTGTCATAGTTGTGCTTGAGATTCCACTATTATATCCCGGAAGAGAAAAATGACATCATTTAAACCCTCATGTATTTACTTTTTTATAAGCAAGTTAATTATTTTTGTCATTTTCTTAAAAATATCGTTATAATATCAATACACTGTTATATTAATCGTCATTAATTTTTATAGTTGAAGTGAATTATTAAAGTAAAAAAATACTATACATAACTATCAATAAACATTGTTCTTTAAACTTTTTTTTTTAATTAGCATTGATAAAACAGAAATAAGTTTCTAACTAGTGTTATTATAATGATAAACATGGAAAATTCGCATTTTTTATTAAAAAATATTATAGAATTCTTTCAATGTAAAAACATAGAAAATAATATTTTTAGAAATATTATGAAAGAACTAAAACCATAGAATTAAAAAATTAAAGAATTGAGAACTGAGATTGAAGAACTAAAACTGTAAAATGAATTCTTGTGATGAACTCTTCAATGTGAAGGAATCAGTTTTCATTCTATTTTCAAGTAAGTTGAACTTAAGCTCTTTTCTCCATCTTTTTAAAAAATATAAATATTTATTCTATAAAAATTACTAGCAGCCAATATGTTAAACTTAGCAGAAAAGAACAGTACCAAAACAACAAATTCATGCACCTGAGATAAAGGAAAACAATATTGAAAACAGCCACAAAAACAAATTGTTATTTTAATCCAACGTAGTTCCTTGTAGGATTAGATACGTTGTTCATGACCAGTTTTCTTATCCAAATGGGGGGAAGGAACTGTGAACACTGATCGGTGCTTGGATAATTTCGAGGACATATATGAGGGACACATTCATAATATTCAAATAAACTATTTTTTTTAATAGACATGTATATCTGATTCCACAACACAAACCACAAATATAACCCACAATTCTTAAGTTTCTCCAATAGCACTTATATTACAGCTGCTGAACTGCTACGTGTAACCAAAGTCAAACCAAGCCAACAATCTCTCCATGCACGATGTACTTGTACTTCTTCTAGTAAAAAGACCAAATAAAGCCAAGCCACCTATTTTTTTTTCCCACTAGCACTAACTCCATTAAAATTCCTTCATCACTTTGCTCTCTTTTTTCTTCCCTTTTGACTTCAACTCTCATCATCACTCAAATCTAGGGCTTACTACCATTTAATCCACACTCACTTCCGAACGAAAGACATTTTTTTGTACTTTCTTGCATGTACAATGTAAGTGAACAATCTGAAAAAATACAGAAGAGGACTGTCATGAATGTCATTCCACTAGAGACGCTTATAAATATATTTGAGACTGGCTCTGTCTCAAATCAATAGCATCGAAGATAAGATTTGGGAAGAGAAACAATGGAGCAACAAGGAAATGGTGCTTCTTCATTTACCAGTGCTGTGAGTCTTCATAAGCTTGGAGTGTCTTCTATACCTCAACGTTATGTTCTTCCACCATCACAACGACCTCATCTTCCACTATCAACCACTCTTCCCATTATAGATTTGTCTACTTTGCGTGATCAATCTCTTGTTTCTAGATCAACCATCAATGAAATTCGAATTGCCTGCAAAGAGATAGGATGCTTTCAGGTATATAAAGCACCCGCTCAATCTGCATATCATCTTTTCATTGATGCAACAAACAAACATTTACGTGCATTTTTTTATACATGTGCATATATATGATAATTAATTATAGGAGCTGACATAGGATGTATTTTAAGTGCAAGGTTCTATAAAGACATGTTATACTATGTTATATATTTACGTAAGACTTCACTTTTGTAGGTTATTAACCATGGGATTGATCAGTCAGTGATGGATGAAGCTCTAGAAGTCTCAACACAGTTCTTCAACCTTCCTAGTGCTGAAAAGATGCGTTTATTTTCTGAAGATGTTCACAAACCTGTGAGGTATGGAACAAGCCTTAATCAAGCCAGGGATGAAGTTTACTGCTGGAGAGATTTCATCAAACACTACTCTCATCCAATATCGGATTGGATTCACATGTGGCCTTCAAATCCGTCAAATTACAGGTATTACTACAAAAGGAAGTTTTGAAATCCCCATGAGAATTTTACTAACAAAATAAAGGTATGGTATCAAAAGTTTTCCAAATAAACCTGTTTTAATTAAAATAAAAAATAAAAAATTGCTGCTGCCATAACGAAAGCTTCTCTTCACGTATAAAAGATACACATCTAATGATAATAATAACTCATACACAGAAGTTGTGTTGCAGGAAGAGCATGGGAAAGTACGTAAAAGCTGTGCAAATTCTACAAAATCAACTGCTGGAAATGATTTTTGAAAGCCTAGGGTTAAACCGCAGTTACTTGCATGAAGAAATCAATGGAGGGTCGCAAACACTTGCAGTGAATTGCTACCCTGCATGTCCAGAACCCGGTCTCACCTTAGGCATCCACCCTCACTCTGATTACGGATCCATAACTGTGCTGCTACAAACTCGTTCAGGCCTAGAAATCAAGGACAAAAATAACAACTGGACGTCCGTGCCGTTCGTTGAAGGAGCACTTGTGGTGCAGTTGGGTGACCAAATGGAAGTTATGAGCAATGGACAATACAAGAGTGTGATTCACCGAGCAACGGTTAATGGGGATGAGAAGAGGTTTTCCATTGCGAGTCTTCACAGTTTTGCAATGGACAGAAAGATGGGTCCTGCAGTGGAACTTGTTGATGATCAGCATCCTAAGTCCTACAAAGAGTTCTGCTTCAGGGAATTTCTGGACTTCATTTCCTGCAATGATATTACAAAGGGTAGGTTCGTTGACACTTTAAAGTTGAACAAACTTTAGACATACTTAGATGGTCTAAAGCCCATCAATAGCAAGCTGTTTGTCATGCGTAGTTTTCATGGAGTGGTCTAAGCAATAGGCATATTTAAGTATAAGAGTCATTTTTTCCTTCTTTTTTTTTTCCTCCCCTTTCGTTATGTACTTGGAATAAACAAAGCAATAAATAAAGTGATAAAAGACACCAACATGGCACACACAATCTAAAAGACTAGAGTCCTTCTTGATTAAACTTTTAATAGTGTGTTTTTATTGCGGCTCACACTTAGTTTAATATATATATTCTAATATAACTGAGGAAATTGGTGAATTCAATGAACCAAAACTACAAACACCTAATATTCACCAGTACTATTTGAACAAAAACAGAAAAAAAGAAAACTGAGTTTCAATGGGTTATAACAAATTGTGGCAGAAAAATAGATTGAATTCTCTACACGTGTGTAGTTTAAAATTCAAACCACGTTTCAGTGTGAAATGGTTATTTGCAAAACAAAGCATATTACCTGAGTCTACCTTCAGCAATTTAAAGGACTCGGATTGCCATAATATCGAAGTCCTCAATCTATATTCTAACCATAATATGTAAAGTTGGGCGTTAAAGAAGAAACAGTACTTGAAACTTTACCCGGATTTTCCCTTAGTTTCTCCTCTTCTTTTCTTCATCGCTGAAAGCCCTTGTGTGGCAGGCCTGTAAGATGAACACTCCCTAACGTTATTTATGCCTAATATATAGCATTCTTCCGTAGTTTACAGGTGGAGAAGAAGAACATCGTGGAGGCTCGTCTACTCAACGCGTAGAGGCCATGTTTTGGTTTTCTTTCCTTTCTCGTGGAGGCTCCTCAGCTCAACACGTAAATGCACCAATTCGTTGTTTATTTATTTTCAAAACAGTGCCCTGTTTTCTTTCATGCTATATGCCTTTGTTAATTCTTACGTTCGTGTTCATCTTAGCCAACATGACTCGATCAGACACATGCGCAGAGTTTCCTCTAATCATGTGGAAGGTAAGCAAACAATCAAACTTTGGATGAGGTAAGTTAGAAAGGTAAAGAATTTAAAATATTTTACTCTAAAATAACTTGTTTGGTTATTAGAAAGAAATTCCAAATAAAAATCGAGCTGAATTGATTTATATCAAAAGTTGAGTTGAGTTAGTGCAGAGTAAAAATCAAATCGAGTTGGCTCGGATCGAAAGATATAATTGAATTAAATTACTTTGTTTAAATAAAATAAGATAATATTTAATTACTCTATAAAAAACCTATTTTAAGTAAAAGTAATTCAAATGTAAGTAATTCAAATTTTTTAATTTAAACTTCTTCATCCAAATACAAGATTGAGATGTATACTTGATTAATGTTTTTATTTATCAGCAAAAGAAAAAAAATGGTATATGCAAGTGGTACAAGATGTTAGAATTAATTAACAAATTAATTCTATTATGTGATTATTTGAAAAACTATGATATATTTAATAAAATATGAAGACATATTAGTTGTTATGAAAAGTCATAACAAAGACAAAATAAAAATAAACTTACTCTAACTAATTTGATGGAGTTGGTTAATAAAAAACTTTTAGGGTTTTGTTTTTGTGTATCAAGTTTCTTCACTGTACGTCATCAAGAAAGTTGGAGAAGAAAAAGAAAGGTAAAAAGATATATTGAAAAAAGAAAATTAAAAAACACATTAATATGGATCTCTCATATATTAAGGTTAATATCTATTATGATTTATGTATGTTAATGTGTGAGACTTATAACTATCCTAGAATAGTTTTCTAAAGAGAATTAAGAAAGTAGAAAACTACAAAATTAACTATCCTAAAATAGTTTTCTAAAGAGAATTAAGAAAGTAGAAAACTACAAAATTAATTTTACATGTGGTATCAAAGCATGGATGGTTAGATTTATGATTCATATTTCTCCCAAATTAAGATTAACCTTAATTTATGTTTTAGAACCCTAATGATAAGATTTAGGCATTTTAAGATTTCTTATGCTTTAAGTTAAAATTTAACTATTGGTTTATGTTATGCTGCTTTATGCTATTAATTTATCATTGTAAAATGAACGGTAATTTCTCTTGCACGTGGATAAGTGCATTGAAATTGACTTGGTTGTCTCTTGAATTATTTTTTTCTGCGAATTGGAGTTGGAAGCCGCATTTGTAATTTTCCAGTATGTGAATTGGAACTCATGTTTTTCCCTGTTACACTCTTGATTGGTAATGAGTGATTTAATTGCAAAGTGAATGAAAGGAAAACAAAAGCACCAGCTTTTGTGCCTAGAGTATGGTGCATCAACTAAATATGTTTATTTGAATTGGATGCATTGATTTATTTTAATTAGTTGATCATTTGACTAGTGTTATTAATTTATTAGTGTTGTGAAAATAGGTTCTAACCTACGAGGCAACACGGTCCATCAGTTTGAAAAAAAAAATGTAACTCTTTTAGGTGAGTTAGTTTTCAACCCGGTTCACTTAGAGTTTGGCTTATCTGGTTCAAACTGTAGTAAGTCGGGTTGGCTCACCAATCCACCTAATTTAATTTAATTATTTATTATTTTATGTTTTAATATTATTAATTAGTTAGCATTTTTTTTATTATATTGTAGATGGGATAAAACAAAAGATGTTTCGAGAGGGAAAAATATTATAGATTTATCTATTCAAGACTCTAATATTATAAATGGACAAATGATAAAATAATTATCAATATTAAAAGCTTATTTATTCACTTTTTGTGCTTGTTTTTGATAACGCTTAATTTATTTAGATTTGAATTAAAAAATTATAATTTTTTTTTAAAAAAAACTTATAATCAAATGAATCAGTGAGTCAACCCGTTTAACCCATCAACCCGTGGTAGGTCGGGTCGAGTTCAAATTTTTTTAATTCATTAATAAGTGAGTCGAGTTGGGTTGATTCACCAAGCCGTGATGGCTAGGCTGGGTCAAAATTAATGGCATGGTTTATAGCAATTAAATGTATTTATTTATTTGAAATCAAGGATGATAATTTTTTTAATCACCAAAATGGTCATTTTAAGTTTATTTGATTTCAAAGTATTAATGTTTTTATTTCAATTACACATATGAATGCTAAATTATAAATAATAAATTTATGAATTAATTGAAATTTATTATTATAAGGTATTTTAAGATCATTCAAAAGTGAATTAGTTTTTCTTATAATTAATTAATATGTTGATAGAATATTTGTCATGTGTCACTAGTTCTACTTATATACCCAAAGGTAATAGTTGATTCTTGTTTGTGTATATTTTAATTATCATTAATGTTATGATGTGATTAGTATTATTATGTTTGTGTATTAGTGGATCTTCCAAAAGGAAAACATTAGTATACATATTTCTGAATCTATTTTTATGTTTAGTTTTTATGACTTAAAGCATTAATGTTAGACATGTAATAATTAAAGTATTTATTATAGTATATTTACATTCACTCGTTACATTTGTTCTGGTTTTCAATGGGTTGAATTTTCATTATTAGAGTATGTAAGTCAAATTTCACTTAGTTATATTAGAGATTTGGCTAAGGTTCATTAAAGAAGGAAAGGAACACATGATATGTAAACTTAAAAAATTAATATATGGACTTAAACAAACTTCTCCACAATGGTATTTTGAGTTCAATGATATCGTGCCATTTGGATTTAAGAAAAACATTATTGATCTATATCTATATCTATACATATATACATACATACATATATATATATATATATATATATATATATATATATATATATATATATGAAGGTCAATGAGAACAAGTTTATATATTTTTTATTCCATGTGGCAATGATATTTTACTTACAACTAATATGATCTTGGTCTATTAAGTGAGATTAAAAGATTTCTCTCTAATAACTTTGAAATGAAAAATTTAGGTGAAACATAGTGTGTGATAGGAATAGAAATATTTCGTGATAGATCACAAGAATTGTTACATTTGTCTTAGAAAACATATATTAATAAATTTTTAAACAGATTTAAAATGTATAAATGTTCAACATCTCTCATCCCAATACAGAAAGGAGACAAGTTTAGTCTCATGCAATCTCTAAAGAATGATTTGGAACGAAAACAAATGAAACATATCCCTTATTTCAAGATTTGGAGTAGTCTACAGTATTTTCAAGGCATTGAAAATTTATTGTGATAATTCTGCAATAGTTTTCTTTTCTAAAAATGACAAATATTGCAAAGGTGCTAAGCATATGTAATTGAAATACATTGTCATTAAAAAAGTTTAGTAATGTCAATAGAACATAATAACATTGATCTTATGTCTTTTGACCCTTTAACGACAAAGTTATTGTCCAAATTATTTGTTGAGCATGTAAAGAATATGAGCATTATATCTACTAATTAACAAATATTAAATGTTGAATGTTAATGATATTAATGTTTATGTGACACTTTGAGATATTTAATGTGTAAGCTTATGAAATTTGTGTTTTCTTCTTTATGTGTATATGCATGCAAATTATGATAAAAAAAAACAAATTATGTTATTGTAATTAAAATTACATTATGGTTGAACCCATTATGAACTTCTCGTTATAAAGTTGTATTAAAGTAAAGGAATAATACACTAGTACATTGAAGAAAACATGGGGAACAAGTCGATTGAGTGATGTGCAATCGCCATGACTCTTATTATTTTTTGTATCTTTAATTATGAATAATGATAGAACTAATTTATGTAAGGTCCTTTAATGCACATTATGTTTATGTATTAAATCATATAATGTTATGACATCATGAGTGAAGTGAAAGAATGTTAGAATTAATTGACGAATTAATTATATTATGTGACTCATTTGAAATATTATGATGGATTCAAATGTGATTTAATAAAATATAAGGACTTATTAGTTATTATGAGAAATCATAATAAAGATAAAATAAAAATGAACTTACCATAATCAATTTGATGAACGTTGATTAATAAAAGGTTTTTAAGGTTT